CCCCCTCCCACCATTCTTAAAATGTTTTACATTTTTTAGATCTTTACTTTGCTACTATAGCGAATGACTTATTAGCTCGATAATGTATAACAGCTGCAGTAAAAACGAATATTTTATTAGGCATATTATCGATTATATTTTACAAAATAAACTGTTTAAAACTTCTGCGTGATATTTTTAACTTGTCCGTTAGATTAATTTTAAATATTACAACCCGTCTGCAGCTTATTAATTTAGTCTGTCTACATTCTGGATTTGGAGAGTGCAAAATCATATATTCTAGGTGCAGATATATTAAAATTTTATTCTATATCACAGATGGACGTACCATATATTAAAATGTTGCAACCCATTTAATCTACAGAGATATGCTTATTATCGCGAGAATTCTAAGAAAGATTTTACCCTGGATGACCCAAAAAAATTTACCATTCAATTTAGATAAGTTAATATGCTCTTCATGCCGACAAAAATTAGCAAACATTCCTTATACTTCAAATGACAATGTAGATATTGATTCTCCCCCTCATATAATTAATCAAGAGGCTATTGATAACATTAATATATCCCTTCAATCAAATGGGGAATCTCTCATTAAAAGAAAACGCTTATGTGTTAAGAAATATTCGAAGAAAAAACTATCTAGAGTAAAAAAAGTTTTAACGACTAAAATATACCATTATCTTCATCTAATGATGAAAAATTCGATGAAATTCTAGTACCTTAAAAATTAAAAAAATTTATGAAAGATATTTATTATTGGAAATTTGTTACATTATTAAAGCCTCAGTTTAATTAGTATATTTAATAGAAATTCAAAATTTTTTAATATAAAAAGTGAAAATATCCGGTTATTGATAAGTTATAGCAGCAAAATTTTAACCATTAATCGGTAATTTCATTAAAGCGTCATCTATTTTTTTCTTCAATTTTTGGAGTTGATAGCGTCGCCCAAGGTTTTGATATCGTATATATATTTAACAAAGGTGTCTAAATAAAAAGCAATAAAAAAATATCGAAAACAAACTGCCTTTTTTGCTTAAAAACACAGATAAAGCAAAATAGGTAAACCGTAAGTTAACGGCTCAAATTGGCGCCAATCTTTATTGTTTTATGATAGCTCTTTAGAGATTTTCTTTACCTACAATCTGATATATTATTTTACTATTAATAGGTCTTGAGATATAAGCATTTTAAAAATTTTACAGATTCCAAAGTGGCCCTTTTTTTGCACCTTTGAGCCCCTATATCTCGGGAACCTGGTGTACTAGCGAGCTAAATTAAACGGCTTTCTCATTTTCTTAACTATCTAAATAATTCCAGAAAGTTTTAACAATTTTAAAAGGGGTCGGCCGAATCGTGATCGATTTGACGTGGAATGGCCCCTTATATAAAAAAAAATATATGAAGAATTCTAATATAAATTGTATTAAGTTTTAAAAGTTCATTTCCAAACATGATGGAACACATTTCTTAAAATCAGATTTTAAAATTGTTAAAAACGCGTTCAAAAAATGATTAAAAGCTAAAACTGATAGCAGATTCCTTGCAAAAAAACACATTGAACAGAGATATACTTAATAGAAAATAAGCATAGCCTGGCTTCTTAAGATTTTTTATAAAGCTTTCCGCCCCCAGCATATATCGCGACTTAATCCGTGCAATTTTAATTTCATATAAAATAAAAATAATAGGTCAAAATGTTCGCGAACAAAATTATCTCATAATCCCAATTTAAGGCTAAATCAAATCCTCAAATTTTTTTTTAAAACAAAGGCGCTCAACCAATTCTTTGATAACTTTTAAATTTTGGATCATAATTTATTTATCTGACATCTCTCCCTTACTTTACTTTCTATCAACTTTTGCTTTTTATAAAATTTTGACTCTTTCCGGCAAATATATTGGTAGCCTACGCAAAATAGCTAGCCTTATAAATTTCAGACAATTATTTATAAGATATAAACTCATACTGTCCGATTACGTATAATGGCAGTAACGTGTTCGCAACTTTCTTTACCCCTCCAATTTCGATCGCGCGTCTAAATCTCCTTCCACCAGGTAGAAATGTAGGATGGTTATTTACTGGGGAAAGGGGATCCATTTTTGACCTGTATTTAGGATAACTCAGTATTTTTGACAGGTGAAAAGAGTGATTAATTAAGAGATGCGCTAATCCCGGCCAATATATTTGATTCCGGTTGGGTCGGGTCTGAAATTTTTTTAAAATTTCGGGTGTCGGGTCGGGTTTTTTTATAGGCTCAACCCAATAAATCAAAGCCCTAACCGCACCTGATTAAGGTTCAGGCTGAACTCTCGGAACGTTCGAGCAGAAATTACAATTTACGTCGAGTTCGGATCTTAGCAATTTTAAACATATTCTTTTCAAGATTAAACGCCATTTAAAAAAAATTCGTCTGATCGAGTGCGATCGACAATTATTATTTTTTTATCTCAAAAATTATAACAGATGTTCCCTATTTCACGTCAAGGAGGGCCTTCATCGTGGACTGCTATATTTTATTTACAAATATCACGACCAATGATAAGGCACGTTTTTCGAACAGCATGATAGTATCGCAATTTATCAAAAACCATATTTTATCATACCACCCCCCCCCCCTCCCTCCCCATTTTATATTTTTACCCGTATTTCGTATTTAACCTATCTATCTACCATCTCCATAACTCTTAGATACCAGCTTAACCTTGAATTCATAGTGACGCGATTTAACAGCTGATCGATTTTTAAAAACTGTTTATGAAGATCAAATTTTACCTTTAATTAAATTCATAATAATAATAATAATCTAAGAAATAATGATATTAATAAATAAAAATTGATCACGTAAACAGATTTTAAAAAAAAACTGTCAGCTGTTAAATCGCTAACGCAATCGCGACACTATGAATTCAAGGTAAGTACATTAGTTCAGAAAAAAAATGGATTTTATCGGTAATAAAACTGCTAACCGTTTTGCCCCGGACAATATGGTACATTTGTACCGACCCTATAAACCACAGTTGCCATCCCAATATTAACAGGTTTTTTGCGTATTCATTGGACGCGTTTTATTATAAAAAAATTTTTTATATAAAAATAATGCAGGTCTGACGCGCGGATTATCGTAACTTAAATATTGCAAGGGTAAAGCAATGACACACAATAATACCTAGAATGACGATGCATTCATAATGAAAGCGTCGTTGAATGCAAATCAGCTGGACCCGCCATTTTGGTAACCCCATATAGTAAATTATTGTCATGTTAAAAACTGCTATTAAATTGATAACTTGCTTCCTTGTTATCTCTCGATGATCAGGTAATTCTTTAATAAAGTTTGCGTCAGACTTTGAAAAAAATTGGCCTCTCGTTTAAAATTTAATGATATGGGCAACCAAAATGACATCCCCATCTGTTTTTCATTGATGTACACTTTTAATGAATGCATCGTCATGATAACTTATACACTTGGCTTAGGTAATATCTAAAGTGGTATATTTTAATCCTCCCTTCTTTTTGTTAAACCTGGAAGAGTTTTTATATCAAAACTCAAAAAGTTAAATACAAATCATAAAAAAAATTATTTTGGGGTTCTTAAGGTACGCATAAGTTTCAGACTTCTAACTTATTGACTTCGGTAACAAATTAAAATATGTATGCATATATACATTTTTTTGATGCATATTATTTTTATAAACAATATAATTTTGAGAAAGACAAATGAAAGGAAGTCACATTAGTTTTTAATATTACGAAATATATGTCCAATTTCTTTTTAGCGCCGTTGTCAGGACTTTAGCCAGAAATTTTTGTTAAAGGGGAGGGAAAGTGGTTCAAAGTTTCAAACCCTTCCCGTGGTTCATAAATTTATTTTGTATAATTAGCCACGAATTCGAGTTAACTGTGAATGCAGGGTTAGGCAGGAAATTAAATTCTAACGTATACATTCTTAAGTTTAGTCCTTAAGACATGTTGGACAGAAGGAAAAGGAGATTGGTAGATGCCATTGGCAAGGAGGTAAAGGGAACAAGACCTAGAAAGCGATCACAAAGACAAGCTGAGCGAAAGTGGTAGATAATAACACGAAAAGGGCTGGGTTAATTGGCGAAAAGGGGATTAAAAAGGAAAAATGGCCTACAGGGTGTAAACTTGGGAAAAGGGGCCACAAAACGGATAGAATATCTTCTTTTTCTTCTCCGTATAATGGCGATTTCCAGGTTTACCCATCATTTAAGAAATTTTGTAGCAAGGTTTTTACAATCGGTTGCCCTTCCTGACATCAACCCCTTTAGGAGGTTTCTACACCCCCGTCGAAAAGACGGTGATCCTATTCTGGATCCAGACCACAGGGAACCTTTTAGACCTCCATTAGCCACCAAAAGAGAAACGTATAGAATGTATTAAGGAATTATTTGGGCATATGAGATATAAATTGTGATTATAAATTTATGAAATATCGTGTGCCTATTTATTTAAGGATAACTTCTAATTTAAAAAAAAAATCTGCGAAAATTCTACTAGGAACATAAATTTATATGTGGAATGAACAACGCAGTCTCAGTGATTTAAAAAAAAAATTAGTGATTGCGTTAAAACTAAATTTATTCAAAATAAATAATAATTTGGACAAATAATGAGTATTTTTTTTATTTATTTATTTATTTTATAGATTTTCAAATAATTACTAAATTGTATGAGATCCTCAAAATTACAAAAAATAATTTTATATAAAATGCTTACAATAAAATAAATTATAATACCTAAAAATATTTTCATAAAAATATAAGTTGTAATATATATATATATATATTTTAGGAAAAAAGAGTTAAATAAAGGATATAAATAAGTCAGTAATAAAATAGTTTATTTTTAAAAAAAACGATTTGGGTTAAAATTCTTTTGAAAAAAACAAATAATTTTGTTTTTTAAAAAAAAATTATATCACGATTTAAAAAAAATAAGCTAATAACAGTAAAATGCAAAATAATTACTGTTATATAACATTTAAAAAAAACACATACACAGTTTAAAAAAGACTTTATAAAATTTAAATTATTTTATAAAAAAAAATAATATGATATTTTCAAAATATAACCTATTAAAAAATTGATAAATATCTTTCAAATTGGTTAATCAATATTCTCCTTTCTAAGGAATGAGGTCAGTGCGGAGATTTCGTTACTTTTGGGGTAATAAGCGTTACTAGAATTACTAGTATCGTAGTGATTTTGATTATTGTTGATTTCGATACATTCCTGTTCTTCCGAAATGTCTTAAACATGTTTTAAAAAAGAAGGAAGTTTAGATAACTGAATTTTTTTCATGGAATACTTAGCATAAGAGATACTTAAAGTCAAAAAAAATATTGGATTTCTGTGATTTGAAATATCGAATACGAAATATAAAACTCATGGATTTATAAAAAAATTCCAAAAAGTCTGCCTGGATGCCCGCATGTCAGGCTAAAAAATTTTAGGGTCGTAGACTTATATCTCACAAAAAAAAATTTAAGTTTATAATTAGGCAAATGGATGGATGTCTTTTTTCCTTCATAAAAACTGGGCAGGGCTGGATAACGTGTACAAAAATATTTACGGACTAGACTCAAAATTTTGGCAGGCCAAGTTCAGGACTGATAAACTAATATCTATGTATAAGGATTTTTTTTGAAATAACATTGTTGCGGTTTTTATTTACGTTATAAATTTTAAACATAAAAATTCCGGGTGTTTCGCTTTTCAAATTTTTTTGAATTTAATATTTTCTTATTCTATTTTAAACTTGGGACAGCCATGGGTTTTTTAGTTATTACGATTTAAAAAATCAAAAAATAAATATTTTTTTCAAAAATAGATGGCGCTCCTTTATAAAATAACGTGTTTTGTTATAATTATTATTGTTTTAAACTTTTTTTTCATTTTTAAACATAAATAATAAGATTTTTCAGCATTACTATCAGGAAAAAATATTATATAGATCGTTTGATAGGCTTAGTTATTATTATTGCTATATTGATAACTTGTAAAAATTAGTTTTAAGTTAAGATTCCATCTCCTACAAGAAAATATAATAATTAATTATTGAAAGATAAAAGCAAGTTTTCATGCACCTACCCTAATATTAATTAATTTTTTTTTACAGATATTTTGATATTAATTATTTTTCTTCTTAAAATTATTTATAATGTATAAATATAAATGCGTAAATCCTTTTAAAGAATCTAAACACTTTAATTATAAAAAGAACCTGCGTAAAGTAACGACGTGGATGACACAATATCCAAACATTGAGGCGGAACACTTATATTTGTGATAAATGTCGTTAAACGGTTATCACAAAAAAAAATTGAAAATATAAATTCGGATAGTGAATATGTAAATAACAGCGCAGCATCAACATCAATAGATAAAATCAATATAAAACTTTAAATGAAATTGGAATATCTCCTATTAAGAAAAAAAAAACTAACAGAAAAAAAGTATCCAAAAAAAATAGGTAGCAAAAATAACAAAAGCGATTACAAATATAATAATTAACAATCCAGATTCGGATACGAAAGATAATAATGATATACTCAATAACATGAAATTACAATATCCCAATTTATCTAAAAATAAAAAATATCAATTGCTGACCATTCTGACTCCTAATTGGAGCGCAAATAAAATAACATATCATATGGCATATAATTCCAAAATCATTTTAGAAGAAAAGGGGATTCTTTCAACTCCAAATCGAAAGCCTGCAAAATATCTCAATCAGAAAACAGTCGATATTGTTAAAAAAAATTTTTTTGCAGTGATGAAGTTAGTAAGGGTATTACCAGGAAAAAAAGAATGCATAATCTATCATTGAAAAGGGGGAAAGAGTGAACGCTCAAAAAAGGTTAGTTCTTAATCATTTTAAGACGAGTAATTCAAACTTAACATTTGGATTTTCGAAATTTGCTAGCTTAAGACCAAAAAATTGTATATTAGCAGGGGCCTAGCGGAACACATAAGTGTACGCGTTTGTAGCATACACCAGAATATTAAACTTATGATTTTAGGCTGTGAATTAGCAACATTGACTGAAAATGGTGAGGATACATTAACAACTTCTAGAGATGTTATAGGCAGAATGATTTGCAATCCCCCGTTACCCACCTGTTATTTTGGTGACTGCAACGAATGTCCTGGCTCGGCACTCTTAAAAGAACGCATCGAAAATTATTTATAAAAAATGATACAGCACTTGTTACATTTAAACAGTGGGTTTCGGTAGATAGAACAAATCTGCAACTATTTCTCAATCTTCAGACGAATTTATTAATCATTTTTTCGATAAAATGAATATTCTCACATGCCCATTCTTTTATTCGTGATCAACAAAGTTCATTTCACAATAACCTTAATAACAGTTTAAAAAAATAATCACTGATCTAATTATTTGTGACTATTCGGAAATTTTATTCCTTTATTGTCCAAGACGAAGTTCAGGGTTATCATTGGACAACTTCGCACGTTGCATCCATTCTCAATTTATTATAAAATAGGAGATCAAATAAACAATCTAAGTTTTGTGGTTAATTCATAATACTGTTTCATTCCATTTATTCCAATCGCATTTGATTCATTTTTAAAAAAAAAAAAAATTCGACACTCCACCAGAAAAAAATCACTGCTTTTCTGATGGTTCAGCAGCTCAATATAAAAATAGGAAAAACTTCATCAATGTTTGCTACCACGAAATCGATTTAGGTGTTCAAGCAGAATGACATTTTTTCCCACGGCACATGGTAAAAGTGCCTGCGACGGCATAGGCGGCACAGTAAAAAGGTTAGTTGCCAAGGCAAGCTTACAAAGACCTTATACTGATCAAATAATTACACATTTAAAATTTTATAAATATGCGGAAGAGCGTATAAAAGATATAAATTTTTCTTATGCCACTGTACCAGATTATGAAGAAGAAGAGATAAGGCTAAGTGAGAGATTTAGTAAATCTATCTCACAATACCCGGGACACAAAGAATTCATGCAGTGTTTCCGATTGGCTTAACTAAACTCAACACTAAACTATATTCTAATTAAGCAAACATTTATTGTGGAGAATATAGTATATCCACGTGAGGATCTTTTGAATGAGGATCTGTTAATCGATGAGATTAGATTGGTGATTTGTACAAGAAGTGAATGTAATTAGAGATGAAGTAAAAATTAATTTTCATCACCCTAAAGAACCAGCAAATTCTTTTGTTTATCCAGCTGCACAAGATATCCTTTTCATACCAAAAAATAATATTTTAACAATAGTTAGCCCATTAACGGCTACTGGGCGTACATATAATTTATCGCAAAACGAAATTATCATGGCGTCAAAAAAACTAAATTTAATGAAAAACCGAAAATAGGTAATATCTTTCATGAATTTTAATTTATCTATTATGTCTTCATTCTAAAATAATTTTTCAAAAATTAAAATTTTTTATAAAAAAAAAATGATTATAACCGCAGCTAAATATTCTCATTTCATGATATTAATGTTGGAAAATATTATTATTTATGTTTAAAATGAAAAAAAGTTTAAAAAAATAATTATTATAATAAAATACGTTTTATAAAGGAGCGCCATCTATTTTTAATAAATATTTATTTTTTGATTTTTTAAATCGTAATAACTAAAAAACCCATGGTTGTCCCAAGTTTAAATTTTTTTATGAATAGATATAAGGTTAGAGAATAAGAAAATATTAAATTCAAAAAAATTTGGAAAGCGAAACACCTGGAATTTTTATGTTTAAAATTTATAACGTTAATAAAAACCGCAACAATATTATTTCAAAAAAATCCTTAATATTTAATAAAAGGCCTTTAATAGTGTTACAAAATGACATATAACTTATATTTTTAAAATTATTATTTTTTAACTTATCTCAATTTCAGAAAATCGTATTTTTCGAAAAAAGGTCATTTTTGGCACTTTTGACCACTGATATCTCTGGAACTATGAGTACTAAGAAGCTAAAATTTTGGATTCGATGCTTTCAAATGATATTCTCTCAGCATACAGAATTTTATCGAAATCAAAAAGGTCGAGCCGAAAAGTTATTACCCTATATCAAACCTTCCCAAATATATAATCATATACCATCCATTTTGGTTTTCCTGGAGGGAGCATACAGAGCTAACACCGCTGCCACGTATAAGTTCCACATGCCGTATACGCCCGTATAAAACGCGGACGCGTATTGAAGTGCGGGAGCATACCCTCCGCCATGCTGTTTGGATCTCGAGTCGCCTAAATCCCACTTCCAGCTATTTTCGTTGACGTGACTAGCCAGGAAGAAAGCTACCGTCATGGCCGCACATGCGCACGTGGCCGACATCAGAAAACGGAAACGGTACATGATGCCCTTAAAGTTATAAATAATTTATTTTTTTTTCTACAGTTGTTTCGCAGTGACGACTATGATGTCACCCCACAAAGCCTTTTAGGAACTCGTGCTCAAAATTGTAATCATAAACAATGATCATACCATTCGTTAATTTTAACCTGAATTAGAACCTAACCTAAAAAGGGTTCCGGTTCAGGATATATTTTTTTAAAAATAGGTGGATAAATGGTTCGTAAATTTGGCGCGATTTCGAGTGTTCTAATTTCAAACTCTGTTAAAAGGCAATGTTTTTAATAATAAATTTTTAAACGACGATTACTAACCCTTTAAAATGATTCGCGTAGACATTTTAAACAATATACAATATGAATTATTCGCACTTTTATTAGAAACTGGTATCCGGGAAATTTTTAAATTCCTATAAATTTTTAAGCAAGAATGTTCCATGCTTTCCAAATTACGTTTTTTAAACCCACCTAAACTAATCATTGTTAACCCCCCCCCCGTTAACCACTTATCAACTCAAAAGTAGCAAGAGAAAAAAAGGGAAATCTCAATCAAACTATTCCCTTCGATTTCGATGACCACCTTGTGCGGTATTCCCTCCCTCCCTTCCTAACTTGACCATAATAAATAAGATTCGTAATAATTTTTTATATATGTATATACAAAAAAATAATATAACTTGATATTTCAATTTGACGCTCTTATTCATGGCGGGAAGGAGTAAGCGTTTCTTGGAAACGTTGGCGAATACGCGGTAAATCAAATGAGAAAGCATGACTAAATAACACGCCATGCAAATGACGGAGAGTGACAGGATCGATATGGCTATCCTGGTACCGGCCTCAGTGGACCATATACTGAAAAAAGGGTCCTTGAGTTCTATCCCCCTTCAAGCATACAGATTAAAAAACAAATTTTTTATTGGTTGGTTTGGCATATATATATAAAAGCATAAAATACTCCTGGCCAACCATATTTAGGCATTTAAACGGGCCGGCATTTTATAGAAAACGTTTTTCTCGAGCCAATACCAAAAGGTCCGAAAGAAAGCCCCCTCAATTTATTGGTCTTTAAGTGAATTAGATACTTGTTCGGGACTTTACCGACTTTGGCCCAATCATAAATGAAACCCTCTCTCATAAATCCAGCCATTTCTTCTCAAATTTTGAGAAAACTTGTTATATTTTATAACGCGCGAATATACCCCATTAAAATATATGTAAATAAGGAAGGAATGTGTGTGTAGCCAAACCTTTCGCAGAGTTCAAAAACGAATAGGAATATGCAGGCCGATCCAACGCCTATCAAGTACTTCCAATACGCCGAGAGTCGATTACGTGGAACGTCGTCCTAATTTTAAAAAAAAAATTTTTAGAGCAATGTATTATAGTTATATAACAATAACAATAAAATATAAATATCCAGTATCAGCGAGAAAAATGAGACGTAACTTCGAAGTAAAAGAAAATGGGAAAAAGAAAAACAAAAGTGGTTACAGTTTGTAATGATTATCAAAACTCTTTCATTCGTTTAGGCCGCCCAGATAAAAGGAAATTATGAGCAAAATGGAACAACAGTCAAGAATGATTAATATATCCGAATTTCCGTTCCAACAAATGGGCACATTTTGTACGTGCTAATTCTGAGATTTTCCTCCCGCGCCTCTAATTTTATTGTATAGGTTCTGCTGATATATGCGCGATTATATATAAAATGAATAAATAATTTTATTATAAATATATTCACTTCTTAAAATTTATTAAATTATATTAATAAATCCCTTTGTTGATAAAATTATATTATTATTATTATTATAATGAAGAAAAATTATTTTTAAATTAAAAAAGGAGAAATAAATTGGATCATTATTTCAGGAATTATTATTGGCGTTTGGTCGATTAAAAAAAATATCCACAAGATTATATAATAAACGCATTAAGGGGCAGAGGCATTCCTCCTTACGAATTATCGTAACATGTTTCTTCAAAGAACGAAGTCGTGGTTCATATCCTTGATTTGTCTAGTCTTGTTCCTTTATTTATCTAGTAATTATAGGAATAATCTATGGATGCACACTTGGTACATTGACGACGGAATACTCTGCGGTCCCCCTAACGAGGTTGCTAAGGCACTCGCCATCATCAAAACACATTCCCATGCTATCGGACTCTCACCCAAGACCCAACGAACAAAAAACCGAGATCTGCCCATTTCATTGCTCCATTCCATTCACTCACAACTTCCACACAACCGAACTCTCATCCCTCAGTCATCTCGGCTCTCCAGTCGGTGGTCTGGAATCCATCAATCACTTATTCACTAACGCATCATCCAGCTTACTTCATTTCAAAAAAATCTTTAAGTTTCTCCTTCCTCATCAAGCTTTTTTTTTCCTCAAAAACTTTTAATACATTCCTAAAATTCTTTATGCACTTCGATCCACCTTAGTTTTCAAATTCCCCGACTCATTAAAATCATTTGAAATTTCCATAATTCATGTTTACAAGCATCACTTTCATGCAAGCTTGGGGGTATCGGCATACGCTCACCTCTAACTCTTTCCATCAGTACATCGCCTCTCGTCTTTTATCTGACTCACACATTAGCCAGCTTTCTAACTTCCCTGACCCTATTAGCTGAAGCCCAGATTATTTGGGACAAGTCCCTTATCCCAAATAATCCACGACCCTCCTCACTTTCACAGAGAGACTGGGATATTCTACTCAACGAAGGCTCCGTCGCTTACCTAAAATCGAGCCTTCACGAGGACGATCTCACAGTTTTTCACCAATTGAACCAAGGATTCGGTTACGAGTTTCTGGAAATTATAATTCTCCAACAACCTTGATTTGTTTCTCTCCGCTTACGAGCTAAGATTTGCTATTGGACTACGGTTCAATTGCGAAATTGTTCTTCCGTACCAATGCAAACATTGCGAAACCAGTGTCGACAGCAAGGGTAGACATTGTTTTCATTGTCGCTTCTGTCGTGGCCGTTTTTCACGGCACACCAAATGCAACGACATCATACTACGCGCCCTCAAATCAGGAGGCATTCCATCTAGACTTGAACCAACCGGAATTACTAGAACCGATGGAAAACGTCCTGATGAAATGTCCTTAATTCCTTGGTCAAGGGGACAGCTCCTGGTTTGGGAATTCACCTGCATTGGCCGAAATGCACCATCTAACCATAACGTCGATTGCCCTCGCTGAATCTCGAAAAACCATAAAGTACAGTTCCTCAGACCCTTCTTTCTTATTCATACCCATCGCCTGCTCTATTCTCACCACTTCGGTAGCAAAGCTCAACGTTTTTTACAAAGAATTAGGCAAACGGATCCGCGAAAAAACCGATCAGCCTAAGGAATCCCTCTTCTTACGCCAAAGACTTGCTACCGTCATTATTCGCTCTAACTATCTAAGTTTCATCTCTTCCATTGAATAACCTTCCATATTCCTAGCTTCCTTTTTTTTAATCCCCTATCCTTTCCCGTAAATTTTATTTCTACATTTTTCACCTTTTATAAAAATTAATTATTTGCTACCACATTTTGACAACATATCATATCAGTAAATATTCTAATAAAGTAACCCATGACCGGAAAAAAAAATATACTATTTTAATTTATAAAAAGATTTCCTATTTAAAACAATTGTTTTTTTTTATTCCAAAAAAAAAGAAAGATTTTTTGATCATTTTTTTTTCGTGGAATCATTTTTGTTATATTTAAGAGTCGGCATTTTCCGTAAAAATTTTTTTTAAATATTATACCAGCAAACGCAGATTTTAAAAGTTTTTTTAATATAAATGATGATAATATATAATAATATCTATTTTAGGATATTGTTGTTTGTGGATCAGTACAAAATCACTATAATGATAAATTATTTTTATGGCAATACTAATTAAAATAATTTTTTTTTAAAAAAAAATGATGTTTCTGTTTATTTGAACTAATTTTAACAAGTCGTTTTTTTTTGATCTCCGAACCCTGAACCCACCTAAAACCGAACCGGGTTCAGAGATTTTTCACTTAACCCAAAACACAAAACCGAACCCATTTTTTTAGAAGGAGGGTTCACATCCCTGATGGTTAGTTTAACAATTTACCCTTCAAATTTTTTTTTAGCAAACTCAACGATTCAATTTATCAAAAATATTTTTTACGTATGACGGTTATTATCCCAAAATATTGTATAGGTCAATCCTATATAAATATAGTTATTCTTGAGTAACGTTAATATTCCATCATAACAAATATATAATAAATTTGTTCCTAATAAAAAAAGCAAATTTATTTATTGTTATATATTAAAATTTTAATAAATTATAGAAAAAAAAAATAACATCCACAATTTTCACGGTGCAATATAGTATCAATATGAATTCGTTGTAAAATATTTCCATACATTTGTAACAACTTTCTTTTAAAAAATAAATTGTATGTTATCGATATCTTATTTTTTTATACTAATTATAGCGAGTGAAACAATTTTATAAGAAAGTCGTTACAAATATATGGAAATGTTTTACAACAAATCATACACATAGACGCATCTCTAAATATAAAAAAATGCTAAAAATAAATAATAACAAATGTGGCTTCAATTGTAACGATTCTCAAAACTCCTTCATTCGTAATTCATTTTATTTATAAATTCCTCGTTAAAAAAATCATCTGCCTTATTCTCAACTAATCGTAAAACTTTGATAAATGTCCTCTGGTATGTATATATATATATATTAAGTTCAAAAGCGTGTCCGTTTAAGAACATATTGTAACTACAAGAATGGAAGGCAAAATATTATTTTTTAAAAAAAAAGTAGAGTAAAATCAAATATTTAATTTCGCTGATTTTGATTGAACAAATAACAGGGTTGATTGGGGGGCGAATTTTTAGCTTTACCAAAATCCATTTAGCTAACAAAATAGTTCAGAGCAGTGCCCGTCGACACTGGGAAGTCAAGACCCCCCACCCTCCCCATAAGGTTTTGAACGAGTTGAGAAATTAAGTCATGGACAAGAGCCCGAACTCAAGCTTTCCCGAAATATAAATTTATGATTTAACATTTTTATTTCCAAAAAAACCCGAATTACCAACTTATAGAAAGATCAGATGAGGAATAAAAATGGTTCAGTTATTTGGAGTGTAATGTTAAACGTAGGTGGAGGTATTGATTCGGATGTTGTTGCAAGAGTGAGATAATATGCGCGAAAGAAGTTTCGAGAGATGTTTCTATTCTAACAGGTAAGAACACTGAAAAGTTTAGCATAAACTGTGTGAGAAGCTGAGTCTATAGTGGCAAAACGTGGGTAATGAAAGCGACGCATGGAGATAACCCGGGAAAGAACGAAGATGCGTGGGGTGTCTACGAGAGAGAAAAACAAGCAACGAATTGCAGGGAAGAATTTGTATAGAAGCGATCGGAGGTCGTGCTGAGAAAAAAAAATAGACTGAAATGGTTTGAGATGCACTTCGTAGGAAGTAATGGGATCAAGGACTCGAGGAATACCAACGAAGACGTTGATGGGAGGGATAACCGGGTGACGTGAGAAAAATGGGTCTTACAATTAGCGACGCCCAAGATCGTGTGGAGAGAGGGCTCCACGATAAACCTGGAAACGATAAAGAAGAATATGATAAAAAAAATATATTTAAATCGTGATATACTATGAGGTGTTCCCCGCAGAAAATGATCCAGAACACGAAGAGGACAACGTAAAATATCCCTTGACGGATGTCGCCGAAGAAGAGCATGTAAGGCATGTCGAACCACAGCGAGAATACGTCTACCGGCACTTTTATTATTTTTTAAAATCGCATTTAATTTTTTAAAGTTTCTTTTGCGTATTAATTTCATAATTCCCGATGATAAATGTAAGGATTCCTATTGCCTTTTCTTTCTTTCTTCTATTTCTTTCTTTTTTTTCTTCTATTTCTTTCTCTATTTCTTATTTTCCTTTTCTTTCTTACCTATAATAAAAAGCATATTCGAATATAAAATAATACCTTTTAGCAAGAATATATACTATTATTTTATTTTTTTTTAAATTACATTTCTATGAATAAAATGTAATTTATTTGTTTAGAGCTGTAAACATCTCTTAAAAAATCGAACGCGTTGGCGTTCAGTGTTCATTTACAAAAATCGAACGACTTCACACGTTCAAAAAAAGGACGTTCATGAAGGCGTTCACGCTCGTTCAAAACTTTAATTTAATATAAATTAATACTATATCCAGCCATGCTTAAAATAAATTAATTTTAAGTAATAAAAAAAAAATTCTTATTAATTTTTAATATATAAAAAATTTTTATATGCCACATAAAATTAATTATTAATAAAATAATGTATAAATTTATAATATTTATTGTGTTCACCTACTAAAATATAGACCTTAGATAGAAACTTAGGAATAATAGCAGAATTTCATATAATATATAGCTAACAATAAATGAAGGCTTATGAAATACAACAATCTAAAATAAATTATTAACAGGATACTTATAGTCATATCATATAAAATAATAAATATTACTATCTCTTTAAATTAGAACTTGAAGATTATGAAACCGATATTATACTTTTTTGGACACATTTTACATTTGGTAAGGATAGAATTAGTTTATTGAATATACTGATTTTTACTGTTAAGTATTTATCATATTTGGGGCAATGGTAATGTTAATTCATATGATTCTGAAAATTCAGAATAGGTTGAATGATGATGAAATAACAATATCCATGCTTACACTATTCTATAGATAATAATATTCAAATTAATAAATTAGAGTAAAGGACAGAAATATTCAAATTTGATAAAGGAAACAGCTGATTAAAAAATAGCCCATTTCTTAAAAAATGTCTATAAATATTAAATTAATATTTTTTATTTCCAAATTGTTGTACGATTAAAAATCAAATAAGGATGCAATATAATTATTTAAATTACATAATTAGTTTTTGTTTATTAATAAAGTTATTTTGGTAGATTGAAGATAAAGTAACACAATATACTTTGTCGCCATCATATCAGAATCTTATTTATCTTAAATCGATGGCAGTATACAAGCCATGGTTTTTTGATGAAATAAAGGTGAGACTTAGCATTATTCCAAAGAGAAAACGAAACGGGCTACCACGACCAAGGTTACCATCTTCGCCTGTGCCCCGACCCAGGGAAGGGGATACCAGAATCTGCTTTCAATGTCATTCCAGGGGGATGTCTAGAACAGATGCACACTTAGGTTGGAGAACCAAATAACCCGTGATATGTCCCGGGAAAGGTCTCCAATCCAATTTGTATCCACCACAGGCACAAGACGAGTAGCCGAGGTGGGAGGGGGTGGGTGTCTAGGCTAGTTTTACCAAACAGAAGGAATGCAAAATGGACATCGACCTCAGATTTATCTACATCAATGTCAACCCCTTATTATCCTTTTAAACAGGTGTGCCAGTAGTTTATGATATGTATATATCATAAATCTTTGTCCAATCAGATAACACTTTATCAGTCAACGCTTCATGCTTAATAACTGAAAATCTTGCTTCAGCCGCTCTGAATATTCACGAGAAGAAGAGTATGTATTATATGCGCGAAGGGTTAAAAGAACTACCAAAGTCCTCTTAAGCGAGGCAGATGAATATAAAAAAAGAGATTACCAAAATCTCCTTAAGTGAGGCGGCTGAATCTAAAAAGAGAGTTAGAGATATTGCTCTCATCTGTAAGCGACCTTCGCGCTTACATTTTACATTACGACCAGACGCACGGAAGTGCTGCCCAAATTTTTGTTAAGCCCTGTCGCACGCATGTGCTGCAAATAAAAAATTTTTCAAAACAAAGAATAAAATCAAGAAGATTATCTATAATTGAACGAACGTAAAAAATGAACGCGTTCATCAAAAAAAAAGAAAGAAACGCGTTCACGTTCAAAGTTCATCCAAAGTAAAAGGAATCGTTCATACTTCGTATTAGTAAATATTTTTGTAGCTGTAATCTTTGTAACCTTTATCAATATAAAAGATTTTTTTTTAAAATACATTAATTCTAAGATAAATAAATATTACTATTCAACAAAGTCATCGCCGAAGCCAGCGCGAGTATAGTGTACTCCAATAAACTAGGGGAGCTCTTAACAGCCACGCTTCCGCTTTCGTAGGTCTCCGAGCGTTTCCCGTCATTTAAGCCAGAACTCGTTACGACCCTGTTCCAGAACCATATGGTCAATGCTAAGATGACCGGAAACCAAACTATCTTGAGCGAGAACCAAACTCGGGTAAAACCTCCATTTTGATGAATTTCCTGGAAGGAATTTTTTTTAGCGATTATTTATATTTAAATGAGGCATAATAACACTTTTATTTTTTTATTACATTCCTTTTCTTATTTTACTAGTTAGTATTCTTGAGTGACATTTTTTAAAAAAATATGGCTTACCAAAACTAAAACTCGAGGAAACCGGGTCGAGCCTAAAAACGGTAAAAGAACCACCTTTTAAATATTTTCAAAAACCGGTACTAGAACCGACATTCTCAAAAATATTATTCGGAACCAGATATCCGAAACCTTTATTTTCTGGAATTTTCATTCGTACAAAAAAAAAGAAATATGAGAAAATTGGATTTTACCACAAGCCAAATATCCTTGATTTTACCGATGGCAGTGTTGATATCGGAACCCGGGTGGGTAGGAAGCCTGAGGTTAACGAGGTAGAAATCGTGGTGAACGTTCCCGAGCTCGAAGAATGGGAGAGTAGAACAGTTGTAGTAATATCCTTCGATTTTCTGGGTTTATTTAGGTTTCATTATGAAAAACATTTAAAGGTCGTCGAGGGGAGGGGTAAATAGACAAGAATATTAAAATTTAGGGTTATAGAATCAAGGGTTGGAATTTAAAATTTTATGCCAATTAACTTTAGTAAGGAAAGGTAAAAAAGAAAAAAAGGGGCCATTTTTTACAGAATTTTCGTCGATGTGGCATTTGAGTAATCGATCTTGTAAAGAGTGAGCCATAAGTGTCCATTGATCAGGTTTGTCTCTCTTATTTCTGTAGGCCAATTTGGCTTCTATCCTTATATATTTTGAGGCTATTCACATAACAGGAGATTAATAAATATAAGTATTAATATATGCGTATATATATTTTTTTTTTAAATTCACTCAATTCGATGTCTTTTCGATATTCGATATCTACCATTAGCAACGTGAGCATTGAATTAAACCATCTGGACATGTCCAAGTCCATCCTATCTTTAGGCAAAGGTAGCTTTATGGTATATCAAACATTAAAAATAAATGTATATAAGAGAAAAATAAAACATTTCAATTCTTTCTTTTTTTTGTAAATTAAAATTTAAAAACTTTTGAAAGTTTTTTTGTTTTTGCGAATTTTTAAACCAGATTTAGGACACATCTTAAAAAAACAAGCAAGACTATATTTTTAAATAAAGTGAGAAAGTGACTCTAGGTAATAGCACCGTGGATTGATATACAGTGTGCATATCTTAGTCACGTGTGTACTCTGCCTCCATAAATTGTTACCGATACTGAATTTATTTCATTTATATATTTACCATCTATCCTTGAACTATATTTAATAAATTTACAATCACAAAATGACCCAAGACAAATAAAAATATTGAATTGGATTTTGGAAGTATCGGCCAGATCCGATATTTTTAAACGGTAATCATCGCCCCGATACGTTGGATCAGTATTTTGAATGGCCAGCATCGATTCCTAAAATTTAATCTGACCTACTATATAAGATGAAGGTAAAGAAGACTATAGAAGATATATAAAATTCCATTAAGGGAATCGTGTGGAAATCTCATATATACAATGGTCGACGACGAGAAAAGCGAAAAGGGGATATAACCAAATAAGATATGAGGATCTCTCTATACTTTTGTGGGCAAACTGCATTTACACGTAAAATTTCGAAAAATGTTGCTTAAACGTCTTCTTCTTTTTCTTCTTCTTCTCCGTTTTATGGCGATTTCCAGGTTTAGCCAGTTTTCCCTCTGATTTTTCTTTTCCATTTTTGACGGTCCTGAGCATCAATACTTGTAAGATTCAAGCTTCTCATATCCGCCGCTATCACATTTGTCCACGTCATCTTGGGTCTTCCTCTAGGTTTTGATCCTCCTACTTCCATCATTGTGCATCTCTTTACCCAGTCATCTCTTGTCATACGTTCCACATGCCCAAACCATCTTAGTCTATTTCGTCGCATTACCATACCAATCATTTCTATACCTAATCTTGCTCGCAATTCCTTGCTAGTTTTTCTCTTTCTCAGAGATACCCCACACATCCATCTAACCATCCTCATCTCTGTTCTTTCTAATTTGGCTTCGTGAATTGCTTTCATTGCCCATGTTTCACCGCCATAAACTAAACAACTCCTCACACAGCTTACGTAAACTTTCCCCTTTAACTTCAGAGATACTTTTTTATTTGTAAGAATAGACGACATCTCTCTGAACTTCTTCCAAGCTTGTCTGATCCTTGCAACAACAGCAGAATCTACACCACCATCTGCGTTTAGCATATCACCTAAATAACAAAACTTATTCACTTTTTCTAGGGTTAACCCATTGCCAATATCCAGACCACCATTTTTTAGGTTATCATTATTATGTATCCCTTTCATGCATGTTTTACAAATAAAGGTCATTCTTTCTAACATCAAACTGCCTTTTTTCCCACTACATCTTTTATGTACCCATTTCTGGCATCTGGTGCATTGGATAGAATTTCTAGCAACTCCTTTCCCACATACACCACAAGGCCACTTACCTGATTCTTCTATCTTTAGATTTTCCCCACCAATCATCACCTTTGTTTTTGATGCATTCATTTTCAGGCCCTTTGCTTCCATAGTCATCTTCCATTTACTAACTTTATCCCTCAATTCTCCCTCACTGTTTGCCATTAATACAAGGTCATCTGCATATAATATCTTCCAGGGAAGTCCTTCACGCATTTCTCTAGCCACCACATCCATTACTAAGATAAATAAAAATGGACTCAGCACGGATCCTTGATGAAGTCCTACCTTCACCTCAAAGCTGTCACTATCACCATAATCCGTCAGTACTGCTGTTTGTGCTCCAACATACATTGCCATCACTGCGGTAACTAACCATTCCTCCACACCGGATTTTCTCAAGGCCCATCTTGTAATCTCACGCGGCACCCTATCAAATGCTTTCTCCAAATCAACAACGCATAATAGAGTTTCTTTTCCTTCGCAAGATACTTCTCCTGAATTTGTCTCACCACAAAAATTGCATCTGTCGTGCCTTTTCCCGATGTAAAACCAAACTGCATTTCATCAATTTCGATTTTTCCCTTATCCGCTTTTCTAACACTCTCTCAAATACTTTCATTGCATGTTCCAAGAGTTTAATAGCTCTGTAAGACCCACAATCTAAAGGATCACCTTTCCCCTTGTATACTGGGATAATTATACTTCTTCGCCAGTCCTCGGGAATAGTACCTTCTGTGACAATCTGATTTGCTAAATTCATTAACCATTCAATCCCTAAATCATCAGAACCTTTAAACATCTCTGATACCACCATCGTTAAACCCGATGCCTTCCCTTTCTTCATCTTTTTCACTGCTCTCCTTATCTCGTCCTTGCCAAATTTACACCCTGGACCTTCTACCTTTGCACAACTAATATTATTATTCCATTCATTTTCTTCATTCAAAAGTCCTTTCATGTAAATCTTCCAGGTATTCTTAATACCACTACTATCAATCGTCATTTTTCCTTCCATATTTTTCAAACACTTTACACCTATCACATCCTGCCTCTTTTTTGACATCTGTTTTGCCATTCTAACCATGTTTCCAATTCCATCAGCGCATTCCATTTCTTTAGCAAACTCGTGTCTTTTTTCTTCTTGAGTCTTCGCTATTAATTTCTTAGCATTTCTTTTAGCCATCTTGTAAATATCATTATCACTATTTTCTTTGCTATTATACCATACTTTGAAACACCTCCGTTTCTCATCCACGGCTTTCGCTACCTCCGGGCTCCACCACCAAGTCTCCTTATGTCTAGGCGGCCCTTTTGTCCATCCACATACCTCCTCAGTTGTCATTACCCAAGCTTTCTTCATGGCTTCCCACTTGTCATTCACCCCAGATGCTTGTGCCACCTCCGCCTCCCTAATCGCCAATGCCATATTGAATTGACGTCTAGCATTCACCTCCTTCAATTTCCAAACCTTCAGCCTTGGGACAAACTTTCTTTTAGTGACCCTGGCACCTTTAAGAGTGAGATCTCCTACAACTAGTCGATGCTGATTTATACATTCCTTTCCTGGTATCACTTTCACATTTTTTATTATACACCGATCACATCTCCTTAATAACAAGTAATCCACAACACTTTTGGTACTACCCGACTTATAAGTCACCAGCTTCTCTGATTCTTTCTTAAACATTGTATTACAAACAATCATATCCATAGCATCACTAAATTCTAAAATCCTCTCTCCTTCCAAATTTCTCATGCCGTAACTGAACCCTCCATGTACTCCTTCATAACCCTCACTACTCGCTCCCACATGTCCATTCAGATCGCCAGCCAGGATAATCCCCTCTTCATTTGCCAGTCTCGATGTCACCCCCAATAGACTGTCCCAAAATACATCTTTCTCTTCTTCACTTCTTCCAACCTGAGGAACATATGCCGAGATCATATTATATAGCTTTCTACCATTAATCATCTTGATAACCATTATCTGGTTGTCTAGCCTTCTCACTTCGACTACTTTGTCTACCAATTTCTCCGCAACCAATACCCCAACTCCAGCCTTACCATCATTACCTTCTTGCCAAAAGAATTTATACTTTTCGCTAGTCTTGCCAATCATTCTGGTCCCATTTCCTTTCCATCTAGTCTCCTGTATGCAGCACACATCTATATGTCTTCTGTGCAATACATCGACGACTTCTCCCGCTCTTCCTGTCATACTCCCAACATTCCATGTCGCGACCCTAACTCGATCACCCGTAAACTGGTTTCTCCACTTTTTATCAGGTCGTTTATGGCCGTCATAGGTTTCATTTTCATGAATAGTGGTTCCACCAGGTTTCCCATCCTTCTTTTTGTCGTAGGCGGATGAGGAGGCCCACGGGGTACTTTGGGCTGTACCCCGCCCATGCTTTGTTGTAACCATAGGGAAATTTTTGTAGCAAGGTTTTTACAATCGGATGCCCTTCCTGACATCAACCTCTTTAAGTGGTTTTTACACCCCGTCGAGAAGACGGTGATCCTATTCTAGACCCAGATCACAGGGAACCTTTTAGACCTCCATTTGCCGCCAAAAGACGTTGCCACTCCCCCGCCACAATGAGGCTGAAGGTAAAAAAAAGAGAGGGGGGGGGTAAGGAGTCTATACTAAGGAACTTACTCTATCGCCACTCTTGTTTCATAATAAATAAAATCATTAAAGAAGCACTGCAGCCGATCTAGTAGATATAGGGACAAATTGAGATAATAGGTTTAGAAAATAAAATATCATATGCAAATGACATTGTTGTGATAGGAGAAACTAAAAATACTGTACCTATTTGAGACATTGAGTCATAGAGTTGGACTAGAGATAAATTTCAACAAAACAGTTATTCACTCTTCCCCCAACGTGCCACCACTCCCAAAATTTTACGATTAGAGCTAACGCAGTAAAAATAGTTATATATTTGTCGCCATGATACATCCTTATCTTGTTTTCCACTTATTTTTCAAACATATAATTGAAATTTTTTAATTATATTTTTTCTATTTATATAGATATAAATAAACTTATAAAAAAACCTCAGTAGCTTTTTAGTAATAGTGAATGGGGGGGGGGTCAAGACCCAAAAGCATTTGATGGGGAAGAAAAGCCTCTCCTAAATCCAATCTTGATAAAAAAAATGATATATATATATAAGAAACCTGGAAAACAAATATAACATTGTCTGCTTGTATGTTATGCTTTGTAGAATATTTGGTCAACTCCTCGTCACTAGTAAATTCGTCCAAGTCAAAGGGGATACAATTAGACTTCTGAGATGGTCTAAGATATATGAAACTTCCATTGTTGCCAGAGTTCGAAAAAAGCTTATTCTTGTCAAAGCATGTTGTGGCTAAAATTTGTTGCACGTTTGAAGGTTCTGGAGCTAAAATAGAAAAAAATAATCAATATATATTTTTCTAAAGAGGTACAAACTCTAAAATAAATATTAAATCAACAATGGTACTAAAAGAAAATATATTTCTAATCAAATTAAATATTATCACTTCTAGAAATATTTATCAAAGATAGCATCAATTTGGATAACAATCATTATACCCCTATTTTTAAACTTAACCAATTAAAAATATATGCTGCATATAGTAGAGGTCGTCATCTTGGCCTGTGAAAATTTTTCATTTAGGTTTTTTGACCTGGCCAAGTTGTCATAATCTGGCCCACTGCTTAATAATACCTTTTCAACTTTCAAAATAAATATTAATTCAAAAATAATTATTTAATATGTACTTTCCCCAAAAAATTGGGTAAATGCATTACTATTCAAAAAATATGCCTACACTTTAAATTTAGTCATTAGCCATTACTTTATTTTATTATTATTATATTATAATTATTTTTGTTCTATGAATTGTTCAATGTCTAAATCTGACATCTATATAAATGTATTATATAAATAAAATCAAAATATAAAATCAAGTTTTCAAAACTAAATATATCAACACATCTCATTTCATTTATTCTTTCCACTCTTATCTTTTACTGGTCTATTAAATTTATTCTCAAATTAGAAATTAGTGCTGGTGTTAATAATATTATGTAAATTATCTTCATCATAACCAAGGCAATATAAAAGATAAAGTATTTGGTTTATTTTTTGAGTAAAGATATTGACAAAAATAAGATATATTTGTAGGAAATGGTGCCAAGACTCATTCCTAAGATAAGGTAAAATGCTTTTTTTTAATAAGATAGTTTGATGATTGGATGAACTAAAAGCCTATTTTTTTTATATGTCCTGTGCCACTTATAAAATAAATAGAAAATATAGGCAACAATTTATGCAAAATTATTTTAGAGGTCAGGCAAAAAAATATTGGGCTAGATCAATAAACTTTTAAAAAATATTTGCAGGCTGAACCGAGCAGTTTTCTACAATTTAAAATGGAATCATAAAACAAATAACAGCAATTAATATCAGAGAAATGGTTAAAATATAATAATAAATTGAACATTGTGCAAGTGATCATTCAAAAAATAGAATGAAGGAAGAAAAGGCAACAATGAATTGATTTATATTTTTCATCAATTCCCAAGCAAATATGAAACTTACATTTATGTCGTTTTATTAAATTTATAAACTATTAAAGTCTTCTTTTAAACAGATATGATTCTTCAATATATTATGAAAAATAAATTATTCTTAACTTCTTTGCATAACTAGTTTACTATATATATAAATAAATCAATAAAAAAATGTGCAGTTTCTTATACAACAAAATCATATATGTAGTTTTAAAAATCATTTATTACCTATTAACCCTCCAATAAGAAAACATATTATCTGACTTATAAATAATATAAGACACAGTATAGCTAATTTTTTGCCGCTTAATCTCTCCAATACTGTCCCAGCCATTATAAAAATTTAAAAACAAAGAGCATATGAAATAAAGATAGATGAATAAAATAAATCGATATCTTGGCTAAACCCCGACCTAAAATAACTAATTTTTTGATATAAGTTAAAAATTATCACAATTTTAATGAGTGAAAAAAATAGGTTAATAATTTATTTATATATGCATATAAAAATATACTTAAACCTATCCGATTAAGGTCTCATTGGTTTAATTTTTCGCAGACGCAAATGCGCTTATAATGTCAGATTCCTTTCAGCAAATGCATGCAGGATAAAAACGAGTCTTTAATAATTATATCATAGTAATATATTTAGGAAGATTTATATTATCTAAATTAAGTATTTATTTATGAGAAAAATTACCTACAGTTATAAAATTTTTTAACTCGCAATTTCTTATTTATATTTAAAAGGGTGTGTTTAAATAATCATGAATATAAATTACTGTTATTTAAACACACCAGCAACTCACTTTTCTAAGGAAAACATTACTACCTTAAAACCATTATAAAGCTTCAACATGAGCTGGGTGGGGGTTAGGTGCTTGCTTCCATTTTTTAAAAAGGATAGAGTATAGGTATTTAGGGGCACATGTAAGGGTTAGAATAAATTTATTGGGGGGGGGGGGGGGCTAGGGGATTATCAATTAAATTTTAAGATTAAATGAAGTAAAATATATTGCTATAAAATATTAGATACTTTTATTATAGATATATTATAACACAATGATATTTTTAAACATTTAACAATGATATTGTTAAACATTTACCAAATCTATATATTGCTTACAATCATAGTCATTATTTTTCAAATAAAACTCATTTCTGAAAAATTTCAACTTTCCTTTATAATTAATTTGAAAGGGTTAGATATTCTATCACCAAACTCATATTAATTCCAAACAATACACTATAATTATGCATTCATTGCAAATGAGGAATTTTTTTTTTAATTTAATCCATTTTTTTAAAAATAAACCTTTTATATTCAGAATTTATTGATAGTTGGTAGTAGAGTATTGATAATATAAGTTATACTTAAATGTAATAAAGGGAGTACCAGTATAAGCAAAAACGTAATTTTATGGTAGAGGGTATGTATAAATTTTTGCCTCTAGAAAATGATATGTAATATAGGGGCTAAATCGGCCTCAGTCCATCATCTGATGATAAATTAAATAGGCCACAGGATGTCGAATAAAAGCCCTCTCAAAATTATGGCGAATTATTCTATTAATTGCCAGATGCCTTTCATATATACTTTAACTATATATATCATTAAGACCATGTCTCTTTTTTAGTACCGACATTTTACAATTAATCTATGTATAACGCAGACGCGTCGCTAGCAGTGTTTTGTTCTAAAGCACTTCCATTTTAAAATTAGCCCCAATATTAAAAAATTAGGGTTGTCAAAATTATTTTTATTTATATAATTAAACATAAAATAATTTTTTCGTGGAATTATTATTATTATATTTTGTTGATCCAGATATTTTAATTTTTAACTTTCATCATTTTGTAAAATTTTATAACATAAATAATATGTAAGGGAATATTTGGATATATGTTATGTACTATGCTTTATTAATTTCTGGTTGAAGTAACATGCTAAATAGGTCACAGGTATCTGAAATCGATATTTAAATTTTAATTGAATGTGACATCGTCTACAGGGTTGCCGTTAGCTTTTGACAAAGCGGGTACTAAAAGATGCCAATTTATGTATAAAAACGTGTCTATTATTCTTTTTACTCTATTTATATAAATTTTAAGGAAGCCTCACCCCCCTCTTTTCCACAACTCCCTTTTGATGGGCCTTCGACGCGCATTTGCTCCGTCTTAGGCAGGCTTATGCCTATAGATGTATATCTCCAACTTTAATTATAATATACATGTATTCGCTAATCCAAATAATATATAATCTAACTCAAACGCTATAATTTTATGACTAATAAAAAATCCTAACCAACCTAAATGTTAACATATTAGATTATCTTCCTATCAAAAAAAATAGAAAAATATTCTTACAAGTTCGTCCTTTAATTTTGCATTTTTTTTCAGAAAAAAAATGAAACTAATTCAATATATCAAATTAATTGGAAAATAAAAGCATTTTATATATTCTAAAATCAGAAAAAAAAATATATGAATTTTATAATATAAAATATCTTAAATTTTTACTATTATGCCTTTGCGTAAGGAGAAAAATGAAGAAAGTTATAATAATAAAATATCTTATTCATATGGTAAATAATATTTATTTGGAATACAGTTTTATTTATAATTTTTATTTTTTTATATTATCATGATATATATATATATAATATATATACACTGTGGTGTTCCAATTGAAGTTATGCCCTTCTTGTTTTGGCAATAGATCTGTTAATTTTAAATAATTCAGCAGAGTTGTACAAAAGATCTTCTTTCTCAAAAATTTGAGCAAGATCTTTGAAGATCATAAAATTTGAAGATCTTTTATTTTTTAAAAATTTTTTGTAACGATCTTCAAAGATCTAGATCTTTGAAGATCGCTGCGATCAACGATCCTCAAAGATCTTCATGATATTTATTTTTTTACCCCTTTATTAAAAGCCCAGATGTTTTTCAATTTTCATCAAGGCAGGAGGAGAGGTATAAAACATAAAAGAAATATTATATTAATAAAATTGAAAAACATATGGGCTTTTAATAAAGGGGTAAAAAAAATATATCATGAAGATCTTTGAAGATCGTTGATCGCAGATCTTTGAAGATCGTTGATCGCAGATCTTTGAAGATCGTTACACAAAATTTTTAAAAAATAAAAGATCTTCAAATTTTACGATCTTCAGGGATCTAGATCTTTGAAGATCTTTTTATTTTGAGCAAATGTACAACTCTGTAATTCAGTAAAATTTTAAAGATTGAGAGAGGAATAAATTATCAATGTTTTCTGCAAATTTTATCCAAATTCTATCAATAGGGTCTAAAGATAAGCGCATTTAAAGTTGGACAAACCAAATTCGAACATTATGACATATAAAAAATTATTATTTTTATCCTTATAAAGGTGACTTGAGTTTAATTAAGTTTTAATACAATAATAAATATATTACGGCGCCAAAAGGTCTTTGAAAGAATTTCCTGGCAAAAACTGGTCTATCGTGCCTTGAATCGATTGATTGCAAAAATGGATTTAACCGGATCAGCAGAAAAACGGTATAATAGTGGTAAATCACTTACAGCTTGTATTATGAAATATGCTGATTCTGTTTATACACTCGTGTTAAGTTAGAAGAAGACCGGCCTGGCACCCACACCACTGTTAGTCAAGTATCCCGAAAACCGGTATTTTGTAAAACTTAAGTGCATCTTATTATTACAAAGAACCGCAAACTTAAATGGTTATAAAGAAACAGAACCAGGACCTAATCAATGAATATAAGATTTCCCGTCTGATATACTAAACATCTTCTACAAAAATACTCTTACGAGGTTAGCTTCATATCATATGGTTCACAAATGAAAAGCCATTTGAACTATCGTAAATATTCAAAAGAGTGTTGTTGCACTGTTGTAGTTTCAATGAGAAAAGATACATTGCCACCAATCGATTAGTACAAATTTTGACTCAAATTAATTTTGAATGTTTTTTTTTAATGTTTTTGTAGAATATTTTAATTTAAAGTTCGAATTTTGTTTGTCCAACTTTGAATGTGCAATAACTTTATAACCTGTTGATAGAATTTAATGAAACTTGCAGCGATAATTTATCTTTCTCTCAATCAATAAAATTTATTGAATTGTATTTAAAATTGACAGATTTATTGCTAAAATAAAAAGTTACATTTGAAGTCCAAACCTACTGTTCAATGTTGTAACAATGCGATGGGGGGCGATTTTATTCTATTACTTATTATTTTAGCGATTACAACGGATATCGGATGAATCCGCCATATATTTAAGTAACGAAGTGAGTCAAGCTCCGAATATAACTGGTTTGATGTCTGAAGGGGTCTTATGAGTATTTTGTTTAAGAATGTTGTCAGATTGGTTAATAGTGTTTTATTAAATGGGATAGATGGCTTCATATTGGAGATAAATTTGGCGTATACTGTTTTCTCCAACTGAATCTTTGTTGAAGTATTTTATTTGAAAAGATACCTAAATCTCAATGAAATCTAAAGAGTGAGAATTGGGTGGATACTGATTGATTAATAAGAACTAGAAGCATATTTTGAATGAGGGGATTTTGCTGTGTTGATATTTACTGATGAAAGTCCTTCAATTGAACTGGCTATTTTGAGAGCGCTAGAAATATTTAGACTGTATATTTTTTTTTTAGTTTGTCTTTTAAATTGAACATTTCTGTTTTGGATATTATAATTATATGATTATAAATATCGTTTCATATGGTTGGATTAGCTTACTGAAGGTGTCAAGAATATGGAAGATAAGTAAAACAATTGAGACCAGTTATTTAATAGGTTAATATTATTTTAGAATTTTAAAAAAAGTTTCTTAAAAGTTAGCGATTTTTATGAAGCATTATAAAATTCATTTTTATATGTTTTTAAAATGTTGTTGAAAAATAGATATATAAAATATTTTAGTAAATAAAATATTTAATTGTATCAATTAGAAATTTAGATTAAAATATAACAAATTTTTTTCAATTTATATATTAATAATGATTTTAGTACTTTCTGTATTTTTCGTTTTCTCATGAAAGGATACAATTTAAAAAAAAAAATTATGATAGTAATTTTCTTCACCTTCCTGTTTAAGGTGTGGCAAATAGATTGAGGCGGTCCTAAACTAAAATTTATAGTAATTAAGCCTTACATACAAACTCAGGGCTTTCGAAATTAATGCTGCCAAAAGTTTAACCAACTTCTTAAGGCATACCGTCATAGTAATTTTTTATTAACTAATAACTCGATTTCTGTCTTTCCGGCTAGAGAAACTGATTGATGATTTAGTACGTACAAATCCTGCATTGAATATTGACAAAAATTAGATACCTATACACTGTATACCTCTATTATTT